ACTGTCTAAGAGTTGTGCTAAGAGTTTTCTTTTCTACTGTTACAGGTAAGATCAACATGGTTCGCCCGTTCCAAGAGGTGAGAAAAAAAACCCACATGCGTAAATCCGAGGTTGCGTGTTCATCTAATGTGATGCGTGAAGTGTCTGAGGTGAATAGTGGAAATAAAGATAGCAGGTGGGATATAAAGGATCTACCTTGTGGTATGATCCTCATGGCGAAATTGAGCGACCCTAGCAGTGATTGTAGTTCTTTCCGGTTGCAACAACCTTGTAGCAGGTAATGTTCAATACTTGCCAGGGTATGCTCAATCTTGTCCTGAGGGAGACTAGCCTGCATGTGTATCTTGTCTAGTTGGATCCCCAAAAATTACATGTTGGTATCTGGACCCAAAGTTTTGTGAGGGGAAAAAAGGAATAGTGAGGGATTCAAACAAAGCCAACATGTTTCAAACTACTGGGTGGGAGTGTGTTATTCTCAATCGTGAGGAAATCGTCCAGATAGTGAATAACCGAAGGGCACTTGCACACATTAAGTAACAACCAACATAAAGCTTCTGCAAACGTGTCAAAAATACGTGGGCTGCTTTTGGAGCCAAAAGTGAGACGGGTGAAGAAATAATACATTCCCTGCCATTTAATGCCGTGTAGATGCCATAGGGAAGGGTGCATGGGTAGTAATTTAAAAGCATTTACCACATCGGTTTTACTTAGCCATGCCCCTGTGCCAGCTTGAAGAATGGCCCCTATGGCATGGTCGATAGTGGCGTAGTGTAGTAAAAATTCTTCGGAAGGTATTAGTGAGTTAAGGCTGGGGACAATGGAGGAATGTGGTGCAGATAAATCAATTATCAGTCTGGGTTTGAGTGAAGTCTTCCATGTGACCACCCCTATGGGATTGGTTCTCCAAGATGTGAAGGGTGGGTAAAAGAATGGCCCCAACAGAAACCCTTGTTTCACCTCGGAAATGATAAGAGTGTTTACTAACTGTGGATCGTCTAACATGGATTGTAGGTTGTCGCATTCCAGTGTACCGGAGGGTAAATGGACCAACCCGGTGTGAAATCCCTCAGTCATTCCTGTGATAATATAGTCAATGAAATGGTGTGATGGGTGTAGCTGTAATAGCGAGGTCAATAATGTGATGTTCACACACGTGTGATACGGTTAATCTTTGCATGGACCCTTAAAAAGTGGGAACATACATGCATCAGCCTGCAAGAGCTGAAGCCACAATTCCCGCATGAAAGCTGTTGTAAACCTGGGATTTACCTAGAAATACAATATCCCTACCCAGTTTGTCTTTTAATCCCCTAGCAGATTTAGGAAAGTTAGAAGTAGTGTTTGTGCAGAAATTTGTGTGATGTGCTGTAGATGCACAAACTGCACAAACTGGAGGCATGAGGCTTGCAAAGTGCCTGCAAAATAACTCAATGTCCAATTTGCTCCAATTAATGCTTAAAGGATAAATTAGTTTCCCTCAGGGTCCCCCTCCCGCCGGGCTCTAGGGGAGGGAGGGGTTAAACTTACCTCTTTCTCCAGCGCCGGGAGGGGAGCTCTCCTCCTCCTCTCCTCCCTCTTCTTCCGTCACTGACTGAATGCGCATGTGCGGCAAGAGCCGTGCGCGCATTCAGCCAGTCCATAGGAAAGCATTCACAATGCTTTCCTATGGACGCTGGCATCTTCTCACTGTGAAAATCACAGTGAGAAGCGCAGAAGCGCCTTTAGCGGCTGTCAATGAGACAGCCACTAGAGGCTGGATTAACCCATAGGTAAACATAGCAGTTTCTCAGAAACTGCTATGTTTACAGAAAAAAGGGTTAATCCTAGCTGGACCAGGCACCCAGACCACCTCATTAAGCTGAAGTGGTCTGGGTGCCTATAGTGGTCCTTTAAATTGAACTGAGAAAGAACTTTTGCAGAAAAGGAACGGTGGTAATTGTAAAAAGCGGTACCACCGTATTTGTTCCCCAGGTCCACCATCTTGTGCATGTATGCATCCAGCTCTGCTCTTTTCCCCGGGTATACTGAGCAGTAAACATCCATATATATCCCAAAACCTAGTACGAATTCAGGGATGGTCAATTTTTTGTTCAGCTTCGGGTCTCTTGCCCTTAGCACTACTGATATATCCCCATATGCAAAGGTCCTATTCTCTAGGACATCCTGGGAGGCTATGAGCAATGAAACCAGGTTTACATCCTTGCCTTCCAGAATGTCCTTTTTAAGGTGAGATGGGACCATGTGTGAAGGATTAATAGATTCAATAATTGATATAGATTCCAATGAATTACTAGGCATAATATCAGCAAGAGGGTGACTGGCAACAATAGGATTTGGAGCGGTCTGTTTGGCACCACTTACAATTTATCCAGCCAATCGCAAATTGTGCCGATGGATGACATATGAGAAGTCATCATGGCGTGAAAAGCTGGCAGCTGGTTCCCACTAGGGCCTTCCCCTGCATCGGAGTTGTCAGTGGTATTGTTTAAAAGTCTAAACAACTCCGCCTTCCTAGCAGTAGCTGGGAAAGGGATGCAGCTTCTGCAGTGAGATGTGGGATGGTCCATGATCTGAGGGACAAAGGACTATTAACATCTGTTCCAGGAACCGGGGTACCAGGCCTAGCGGGCGTGGAGGGTAGCGAATGTTTCTCTGGGATATCAGGAGTATTTGACATAACTGAAAAATATAAGGTAGCTTTAATCAATCACTCTGTAATAAATTGGGTGGGTACTGGTAAGGCTAGCTAAATACCAAGCGGCGAAACAATTATGCTTCATGATAGTGACAGATGAGTCCCTACTAATTGCCAAGTGGTTTGAGAGTCACTACCTATGCGTGGGCCCGAGGGGAAAGTATGAGGCCACCGAACGTTGTGGCGGGAGGTTGGCCTCTCGGTGGCAATTTAAAGCATAAGATAGAATGGGAGTGATAGGTGAGGCCCTCTCTATGCAACTATGTGAGACGGCTAGCTATGATTTGGCCCGAGGTACATATTCCTCTGAGTATGAGAATGAGGGTCTTGGCCTCGCGGGACCACTAGCCTATGAATTAAGATCAGAAAATATATTCCTAATTGGGCCACGTAACCTAGGACCAGTACCACTCTAAATATAAAGTACTGGGATCTGGCGTAGTACCTGATATGTGAGACAGGACGATTTGTCAATGTAAAAATAAGCAGCGGTTGTAATAATATCGTGGTGCTACCTATGGACATGAAAATCAACATATAAGCATCTGTGCTTATGTTATAAGCTGGCCAGTTATCACAAATTTATAATCCTTAAGTAGGTAATCCTAGATGTGGACCTGTGGAAAAATGACAGGTAATATAAGTTCTAACATTCAGATTCATTAACTATGTATTACCCCTAAGTGGAATTTTTTATGACTGTAGCATCATATGTAACCAGCAGGGGGGGAAGTATCATAAATTAGGTGAAAAGTCGTGCCTATTCGTGCGTTTGGCCGTAATTTACCGAAACGATAGAATGCATGAACAGCTGAAAAATGCGAATGAGTTCATACACTAAGTGTCGTTCGAATACCGAAAAGATATATACAGTAAAATGCCCGAATGGTCGCGTTCGAAAAGATACATGAAGTGAAACATGCAAAGAATATGTGTACTAGAATTAGCCGAATGGTTTGATCGGTTGCAATACAAGACAGAAAACCGAACGCTCGGTATAAACGAACGGAGCCCCGCCGTGAAAGGTAGCAATGTTTGCGGCTGTTGCTTTACGGCGGGGCCAGACTTACGGTTGAACCCAGAATTTTTGGAGCTGAGAACGGTCTGCGCAGACGCCGGCGACGGGTAGAAGAGCCAGGGAGACACCGGACCAGGAGACCATGAGGAAGACAGGTAAGAAAAATCCAAAATGGCAGTCTGAACCGGAAGTAAACGTTTCAGACTCGCCAGACCAGCAACGGTAAGGTGGGAGTGGATTGGCAGCCCTTTTAAAGGGGAACCAAGCCCCTTCCACAACTACAGTCCAAGCCTTCAAATATATTAATATATATTATATATATATATATAACATTACAAGAATGGAACAGCGATTCTCTTAAAAAGAACCAAGCTAAAATGAATTGTTCTCGTAAATATATGAATATAGAAAAAAAAATATGAGATGCTAATATTTACCAATATAGGCATTTCAGAGAAATCTAAACTGAGGATATGCACATAACTAAATTTCTTGTGTTGGTATTACCCATGGTATATCCATGTGCAAGGAAAGCAATTGTACTAAGTGACAGTTACAGTTTGTCCTGACACTCAAAAGCATTGCAATGTTTAGATGTTCACGTTTGCACAGGAATTAAAATTTTCACCTCGCTATAGTAAACATCCATCATTCCAGCATCATCTTTCATGCCAGCTTCCTCATCAATATTGGGTGTAATCTTCTTAAACACAGAACATCCGCTATGGAATAATTCTGGGGGGAAAAAAAATAAGATTACTGGAGATGGACATTTGAAAATGTGTTCAAAATATCAGCATTATCAATAGTGAATAAATTGACACTGTAGATGTTTGTGAACTATCCGGACATTATGCTCAACTAGTATGTATGAATTCTTCAACATATAGTTGATACTAAATATAAATACATTTAAATAAATTTCAATATTTATGACAAACTCGATGTGGGATTTATTAGGAAAAAGGGCAAATTATGACAAATGGCACAGAACATATTGGTATTAGAAAAACATTTTCAGGGAATTAAAGATACCAAGCTTTAATAGCGAAGGCCTTACTTTTTCTGTAGAGGAATTCTGCAACCAAGGCAGCCACATGAATGTAACACATTGCAGCCTAGAGAAAAGATTAGAAAAAAACATAAATAATCATGATCTTATTCTATCACAATGAAAGGGATTTATTTTTTTATTGAGACTTTTAGAATAATGTATGGGGGAAATGTAGAATTAGGTCTTAGTGAGAACTAGTGATGTTGCGAACGGTTCGTGGCGAACTCCGGTCAGCTGACACATCCCTGCCAATCTCCGGCAGACCCTCCCTCCCAGACCCTCCTACTTCCTGGACAGCATCCACGTTGAAGGCAGCTTCAACATGGATGCTGTCCAGGAGGTGGGAGGGTCTAGGAGGGAGGGTCTGCCGGAGATTGGCAGGGATGTGTCAGCTGACCAGAGTTCGCCACGAACGGTTCGTGGCGAACCGTTCGCGGCAAGTTCGCGAACGGTTCGCGACATCACTAGTGAGAACACTTAAACTATGTGTAACGGTATAGATCAGGCTTCCTCAAACTCCGGCCCTCCAGGTATTGCTGAACTACAACTCCCATGATTCTATGAATGAAATAGATAGGCTGAGAATCATGGGAGTTGTAGTTTAGCAACATCCGCAGGGCCGGTATAGATGCCTGGTAAGTGAGCAGATGTTAGGGTGAGTCAGGAGATAGTAGGTAGGAGAGAGGTGGCAAGTACAAGGAGAGGAAGAATGGACATGGCGATGAGAGCTGGTTAAAATAAGAAATTGAAAAAAAAAATATTGGAGAGATGAGAAGGTAGGTTGTTCCCAAGACAACAGTCAGATTCCAGAACAGGAACCCCACTGCCCCGTGGACTAACTCAGGAGGATACAAATCTGAAGGAAATAGTCTGTATACAAGTCTAACCAGAAACCACAGATTTTAAAGACTTGTGTGAAGATGTCAACCTGTCATGTCATGTATTTCTCATTGAAAACTTTAAAACATAGATTCAAGTGGCTAAAAGTATGTCAAAACTCCCTAAAACATAAAGCAGAGTGAACTCAATGGGATCCATACACAGTATTCACTGAAAGGGTTTATTTCTAAACCCAAAGTATGAATTGTTGAAAATGCATAGTGAATTCAAACTGAATTTCCAAATGTAGGCTATAATAGCATAATTGAATACAGGTCTAACTTGGATAATTTCAACATTTGAAATTCCATTTGAATTATCTGTGCATTACCAACAATTAAATATGGTGTGTGTCTGCTAACATTCATAATTTTACTATTGGAAGTTTTAGTTCATGTTTCTATTTTTTTTAAATGGTCCACAAACTGCATTTGTAGTTAGTGGCTATTTTTCAAGGCAAATGCCATCTTGTGCATTCTTCGCATCTTTTATTTTAATTGTTGGAGAGAATGCAGATCCTGGAAATTATATTATATAACTTGAAATTAATTATTTAAGGCATTATTATTATTCGAAAAATGTGTCAACTCCCGCATAAAGCATCAATTTCAAAATACTTTATGATTTAAAAAAAATGTGTGTGAGATGATGTTTCATGGACATAATCTGAATTTCAAAATGGGTACGTATAGCCCATACACCAGAGTTCTTTGTGACCCATTCAAGTATTGTATGCATTGAACTTGGAACAGATTTACAAGCATTGATGGAGATCAAATTCTTTACTTGTGAAGTTGCCAGAATAGGCTCCAAAATTCAAAGGCTACCAGAATTCAGTGTATGTTCCTGTCATGCACACAGGCCTGTGAATAAAGCGTGGATAACATGGTGAAGAATGGACACTGTTTTCTCTACACATATAATTAAAGGAACACTCCAAGTGCCATAACCACTGAAGCATACATTAGTGGTTATGGTGCCAGGGTTGCCCTGACGTCACCTCATAAGGAATGACCCTCTCTGCCTCCTTACAGCCAGACAGGGCAAGGCTTAGCTTGGATGGCTAGAGCAGTGGTATTGTCACTGCTTAAGAACTGAGAAACTCAGATTTAAATCACAGTCAATAAAGATATTGCCTGCCTCAATTCCTCATAGACTGCAAGAAGTGCTAAAAAATCTTTCCTTTCTATAACTGTAAAGTGCTGCGGAATATGTTGGCGCTATATAAATGCTACTAATAATAATTGACTAATGAGCTCGGCTAATGAGCTGGCCCTGCAGTTAGTGGATGCTCTAAGCAGGAGCTTGTGGCTGTGATCAGACAGGGAACAGCACCTGGAAGACCCCAAGATAAGAACTCAAGCCATTAGAAAACGGTTTGACTACTTGCAAAGGGATAACACTAAGTCACTCCTGGCACCATAACCACTAAGAGTGATGTAGTGGTTATGGTGCTTGCAGTGTTCTTTTAAGGCGAGCAGTGTATTTAAAGGTAGGACGAAGGCCGACTAATGGGGGCCATGTAATGACTTGTTGAATCTGAGTCCGGCTAAATTTAATATCTGCTTAATTTCTAGTTTTACCGATTTTACTTTGTTTCTGCCTCTATGTAAGTCCTCACTACATTAAATTGATGCAATATTGGGCTGGTATAGAATTATATCAAGAGCTGCTTTTATTCCCAGTCTGACTGTGGATTGGTAAACAGAACACCCTTCCTCTCCTCTAAATGTAAACAGAGAAATACGAGGCAATCTCTACCAATCCCTCACCTCCGAGTAATCTCCATTTTTCACGTGTATTTTGGCCATGCTTTCCAGCCACGTCTTTCTCAGTTCAGGGGTACTTGCATAGGATATTGCCAAACTATACTGAAGGTCTATTAGCATTTCTGGATCCTTTTCATGCTCCTTCATTTGGGCTGTTGCCATGATAACTGTACGGATTCTCTTAGTCAAGTCTTTGACTTCTGATGGGAAAGCAGTTGACTGCAAAGAGACATTTCTGAGTATTAGATCAGGAAATACATTTTGAAATAAGATCATAAATGGGTATTTTATCTACTTCTGCATGTCTATACAATTAGCTGTGCCAAGAATGTTTCATATATCATATCACTTCGCTACAGTTCTGAATTTCGTGCATAACCGTCTGTGGTCTTATTCAAAATAAAGACCACAAATCATATAACATCTACACATGCAATTTATTTAAAGGAGCAGTAATATAAATAGGGTTGTTTACTAAATGCTGAATTGAATTGGATTAAAATCTCAATGGTAACATTCATGCAAAAAAATGTACCTTTTCGAAAATGTCTCTAACTCAGCTAGGACACAGCTTGACTATTTTAGCATTAATGTTACCTTCTGGATTTTAATTTACTACAGCCATGAGAAACCATGGGAGTAGAAGAACATCCCATGCCTTGGATTATGGTGTTTGAGATAAGCGTGAGTCTGAATAACCTGTAATATATAACATTATTAGACACAGTAACCTGCTATAAAGAAACCCTTTGATCACCATATACGATTTTAAATTTTCTGAAAGATTATATGTTACACTGACATATATATGAATAGATCAGTAACAAATGTGGGCATGCAAACCAGAAAAGTTGAAGGGGATGTAATTATTAATTTAAGTAATCAAACTAAAGCATGGTGCAAGAGAATATTGAGAACGGAACACAACTAAAATAGCTTGCCCTTCAGTGGGATCCTGCTCGGTTCTCAAACTGGTTTTAGCTAACTTTGTGTCATTACAAAGAGAATCTAAACCATTTTCGTATCAGACTATGCAGAGATATATAGCAACCCCAGACAATAATTTCAGCCTTGCGAGGCCTCGTCAGTGAGGTGTTGTTTTTACCCCTATAGTCACAGTGAGAATCGAGTCCACGTCTGGATTACCCTTTAAGCTACAATCTTTACTAAAATTATATACCAAAAATCTACAGGAAATAAAGAAAAGTCCCCCCAAATGAATCCTCGTTACAAGGAAATGAATTGTGCTTTTATAAGAAAAAAAATACAAAAACAAAAATGTCTGTGCTATTCTACCTATTAAAATTTTTGGTGTCGCAAACATAAAATAAGCCAGGGGCTCTAAAAGTAGACATGATATTGCTGGATGACTGTTTTTTACAATTTAAACACAATTTTCGACATACAATACCTTCATCGCTCTGTCACTGTTTGCAAAATTATTAATTATTGAAAGGGATTCTTGAAATCTGGAGCCACCGCTGAGAGCTACGTCAACAATCAACTGGCTTACAGCAATTATAATCTGAAAAAGATCACGCATTAGAATGTTACAGGATGGATATTAATTGTAGTTGACTAAAGTGAGGATGTTGGGAATTCAAAGTGAGCTTCAAAACCTAATGTTGAACTGTCAACATTTCCAAATTAGATATGCATTGAGTTGAGTGCCTAATTTGGCCCTGAATTTGAAATTCACTATAAATTTATGACATTTCTTATTTTAGTGGATAACCTTGTTTGTGTTTTATTATAAAATGACAAATAATTAATTTGTCAGGATACTTCAAACATTCCTTTGGCCAAACCATTCCCAAAATGCCCAGTAATTCCCAGTAAACTGAGCGTTGCTCAGTCACATACAGTGTATTCTTCATAAACAGAGAGTGATTTTCCTTTTACCTGCAGATGTGTCCGAAGAAATGTTCTCCTCCTTGTGAACTCAAAGTTATTTCTCATAAGCAGGTAGAGAAGTGCAGATGCCTCATTCCTGGTGGAGCTGAGTTTTGACGTACAGCACTTGAGGACCTCATAGCAAAAGGCTGCACACATATTGACTCTTCCCTTAAAGAATGCTGAGGGGAACTTTTTGAGAGAGATTGACAAATTCAGTGAAAGAGAAATCTGAGGCATTATATTCACATGAACACTCCAAGCATCATAACCAGTACAGGAGACTTCAGTGGTTATGGTGCCAGGACATGCTGTGTAAGACAGTAAATAAACATTTTGTTCGAATTTACAAATAAAATTTCAAGTCAGCAAAATATTTTAAGAAGAATATTCACAAAACATTTTCTGAACATTCACTTGGGCAATGACATCTATACCCCATGTCATATTTATAAAATTGCAAAAAATATCAATGTTTCTTTCTTGGTAAATATATTTTTGTTTTCAAACTTGAATTTGCCCTTTCTATACGCATTTTTTAAGTTAACCTCAAGGTCAATGATGACCCAAATGGATTTCAACCATCTGGGATAATGACCTGCTGAATGAAATATGTGGTTTTGGTTAATAACAATATTGTGAAAGGAAACTAATCATATGATGTGAACAGAAAATAAACAGGCAACAGTTAATAAAAAAATATCCCACTACAAAGTACTGTTTCCATTGACATGTCCAAAATGGTAATAGAATAGTAAAAGTAAAAGCCCAAACACCATAGCCACTGCAGCCCGTTGTAGTGGTAACCACAAGGTCAACAATTATTATTTTACTTTATAAAGCGTCAACAC